CCTGCTGTCCAACCGCTGATGGCACGCGCCTGGGCTGCTGCGGCTCCATCTAGTGAGGTTTCTGCCTGCACATAATTCACTGCTTTAGGCTTGCGCTTAGGGGTGGCTGCGATGACGGTCAGCCCACACCACTATCTTTTGAAGTAGAGCCATACCTGTAGTTATCATAGAGTCCATGTCATGAAATGAGGCTTACTGTAGCCGTGAAGAATACACCCAGGCTCTCAGGCAGGTGATCCAAGCAGCGCAGATCCATATAGCAAGCACCGTTGAATTGTACCAGGTTTAATGTAAATGATGCTGAACTCCGACGCGAGGGCAAAATGGTTGGCTTGGCATCGTGTATGATCCTGCTGGCTCCCAGATCAATTACATGCCTTTGTGCCCGTTTCCGCGCTAGGATGCAAGCTTTGCGAGTCTTTGCGCGGAGTTGAACTCACGAAGACCTGCTCCAGGCCCTGCACAAAAAGCTGCAGCAACCACACAAACCGCACAGCTCTCAGGAGCTTGTGCTGACTGAAGTGCAGATTCTCATTTTGAAGCCGAGGCTATGGCTAGAAGGCTATGGGCATAACAACATGCCGCAGGACCGTGTTCCCCAAGTGTTTGTTTGTGGCTTGTGGAACTTGAATGAAGACTAGCTTGGCTCTGCATTTCCCGGCAATCATATCTTGAGTTCGAGCACATGTTGGAATCGGTGGTGGTTGGTGGCTTGGATTTGGATTTGCCTGTTAACGCTTTGCAGCTGTCGAGGAAGACTGCTTCCGTTACGCCCGGGATTTCATCCAAAGTCTTAGTGGCCAACTTATGACCACTGCTCCCCTTCAATCATCTTGTGAACCTGTTTCATTGGTTGCTTCCGAAGCTTAGGCCTAGAATGACAGCTGACGTGAGTGGCTTGTCCGCTGGTCCACTGAGAATGGCCTGAGTTCCACATGCTCCAAAGCCCATCATGAAGTTTCGGCTGGCCTATCTGTCCATTCTGCGCACGGTGTCACTCTCGGAAAAGACAAGAAACCACATTGTTTTTACTGTGGAAAATGCATGCATGCCGCGCACAAGTTCATTCAAGAGCCGTGACAGGACCAAACACCTCATATCCTCTCCAACCCGCCTGCACCTTGCAGTCATGGCCGACGCAGCTTCCTCGGACGTTGAGCTC